TTTTAGAACCTAAAAGAAGAGGGAATGTCACAATCCCCAGCCAACATGTACACCAGAGCATTATGACTGTGTTGCAATGTAACCTGTGGTATCAACTACTTTAGCTGACTCTCAATACGCCCACTTGTGTTACTTATTTTCTTTAAAAATCCCTCTGGGAAGAACGCGCTAGAGCTTGTTGCATCCAGCCATTAATTTTTATGTGTTGGTGGATCAAGCCTTGGCGACACCTACTAAGTAAGCTTTTCCACTAACGCAAAGGTCATAAAGTCAAATGGTCACGCTCTTTATCAAAGCCGACACACGCTGCGTTCTGCATGGAGCAGTCATTTACAAAGACCACTGTTAGCAATAAAAATGTTATTTATTAATCTCTTCCTCTCTTATCGTGAGATTCCTGTTGAAGGATGGATCCTTAAAAAAAACAAATCCATAAAAATGTGTTCTTGTGAGCTCATTAAAATGACCCTTTGGGGGATAGGCTTTGGTTTTGTGAGAACACAACGATAGCAACTAGAAATTAGTTTTACAAATCAAACATAAGATTATCATATTCCTATAAATAAAGCCATGCACTTTCAATCCACTCTAGATGCAATTTAGGTGTATTGGAGCCACTTTATTCATGTGCTTTATTTATTTATTTTGAATATTTAAATTATGTCACTGTGATTAGAATTAATCATTTTTACTGAGTGGCATTTGACATTTTTAGCATCTTACATCAATAGTCAATAGCAATTATCCTGTATAACAATCAATATTTTCAATCTGTTTTTCATTGATCCAATCAGATGAGTATATATATATATATATACATATTGGTGTTGATCAAATCGTTGTTGATTTAGAAAATATATATATGTATATGTATATATATATATATATATATATATATACATATATATATATATATATATATATATATATATATATATATATATATGTATATGTGTATATATATATATATATATATATATATATATATATATATTATTTTTTATTTATCTCAAACCATCGAAAACATGAAAATTGCATATGCACTCCCCCATATTCCTGGTGCATACAAAAAAAATTTTTTTTTTAAATGAGGAATACGATAAACATATGCTGTTATATATATATATATATATATATATATATATATATATATATATATATATATATATATATATTTACAAGCACATACACACACACACACACACACACACACACACACACATATTCACACAGTGGGATTTAGAAAACAGTGTAACAAAGACAGGTTACTTTAGTGATGAGCATTTTTTTTACCTTGATTAGTTTTATGCTTTCTCTTTACTACAACAACTTATTATTATTATCATTATTATCATTATTGGGTTATTATTTTTATACAGTTTTGTTTTTCACTTCATGACTATTGTTTGGTTTAATAAAAGACCCTGGCTCCCTCTAAACCAGCGTCTTTATTTAGTAGATACATGCTGTCTTAACTGACTACATTATAAACATGTTCCAGTTCTACTAATAATGAACATTTACCCAATCCTTGGAAGTTTAAACTCATGGTTCCATCTATACCCAAGATACCAGTCTAGTGAGCTTGCTGGTCTGCACCCGTGGAAATGTATCAGGCCATCAGGTCTTACTTAAAAAGATGAGAGAGCAGCAGGAGAAAGAAAATATTTAATACATTTCTCCAAATAAAGTAAATAAATCAAAAGAAATATGCATAATAGAAGCCTTTGTCCTAAATTAAACCCACGGGGTAGCTACAGAAACACAGATGTCTTGTAGACCGTATGCTCGCAGCTTCAGATCCTGTGACTTTTGTGCTATAACACAATAAAGACTCAGTACTCAGGCACCACTGATGTCTAATGAAGACAGAGCCATTTGGAGCTGAGCCCAATCCTGACATTTTCTCAGCTTTTTACATTTGTCACTGACAGGCAGCAACCTCATCAGCTCACACACTTCTCCAGCGTACTCCATTAAGGTACCTAGAATAAGGGTGCATTTCCATAAAATATTCTTTGTCAGAATCCGAAAATGGGCAAATTATCTGAACACTAAAACAGCCCCGGTGCACTGGAGATCCCCCGAGCGGACAGAAATGACCTCAATTAGGCTGTCTAAGCACGGGAAAGTGTCTCACTGGTTAGAGATGTGAGTGGCGCAGATAGATCAGCAGTGCCACTTCGTTCACATCACCTGGATGAGCCCTTTACATTTGTAAATCAATGAGGAGGGTAACCACATGTAGAGGAGCTGGGAGGGACTCCTGTCTTCTTTGGCTCCGATTTTGAAAACCAAATTACCTCCATTGCAGCACTCGGCCGGGGTCTACCTACCAGTGCCACTCAATCAGAGCTCTCCTTAGTGCTGAAGGATGTGACGCATGAGAGACGGCGGTGTTGATTTTTTTAAATCTCTTGGATAAAAGGCAGATTCAGGGTGGATTTGCCTGAAGCAGTTGATCTGTTTACAGCAGCGAGTCCCTGCTTTGTTGTCCTGCTGCCTGCTTTATGACTTCATCCTCCAGCCACTGAGCTGTGGACACCTCCATGGCCTGCGTCACCATAAATCACACGCTTTTGTGGCAGTCAAGAGGTTCACTTTACACAAAATCAAGTGTTCTTTTGGAACCAGAAGAACCCGAAAATGCCGTTCTCTGCAGCATCGGTGAAAGTTCATCTGAATTGTTTTCGTAGAGTAGAGCAGAAAAGGCCAAAATTGTCTGTTCTCTTCAAACCCTGGCAGCTTTTATATTGCAATCAGAGCTTGGAGATAACAATCAGGTTTAGCTGTCTGACAAAGTTGAACATTAGAGCAGTTTCTCCTTTTCAGCACAGCTGTTACCCAAACTATAGATTTGCCATCACCGTGTCTTTGTGTTGTGTCACACACCCACTAATGACAGCTTTAGTGGTGGTAATTCAGCACAACTGAATATGAGGTTAGGTGTGTGAGTCACGTCCTGGGCTCCCCCTGTTGCCAGATGTCCAGCCAGCCTTCGTGCAGCGCCATTCCCCCTCTCTCTGAGGACCCAATCACACCCCAGGAATGCAAAATGGCTGCTTCAGAGGGCCTTGACCAAAAGTTTAAGAAAGAAGAAATGTTTTGCATGGTTTACATTTTTGAAATATTTCTGTGGCTGCGCTTCATCTGCCAGATTTAGACAGCTGAGCGAGGAGGAGTGCGACTGTGAGGCTTCAGCAGAGAACGTTGGCGTGTGAAAACACCCGGGCTTCACTCACGGCCTCCGTGTCTCACTGGTTTCTTTTATTCTCTATTGCAGAAAAGATAGACAAAACCAATCAACTGTTGGGTCATTTGAGCCACAGCGGCTCATAAACTGAAACTTGCTGACTTTTTAGTAACTTTTTTGTGATCAAAATTTAAAATCTTTGAAATAAGCTGCAAACGCTAGTGACAAGCAGTGTAAAATCACTTTCCTTTCCTTTTTTTTTTTTTTTTTTGCTCTGAGGCGCTTAGAGAACACCTAAGTACTTCCAGGCCTTTGATGGACAAAGTGAATATGTACTTTAGCACTCCTGCACACTCTAATCCCCCATGTTGTCTCTCCTCTGTGTCAAATCAGTGAGAGAGGGAGGGCTGGAGAGGTGGGAGGCGTAATTCATGCACACATGTGCCTGCCTGTTCCTCCAGTGACAGGGCCAGGGGGAGGGGCACATGATAAATTGCCTTCCACCAGGGACCTCCGAGCACAGCCACCATGATGTGGGTAAAAATGGAAATTGCTCTCTTTCACCGTCATTACATCAGTTTAGGACGCGTGTGGGCCTCATCCACACAAGGAGAGGGGATTTTTTAATAGAAGACAGACTGAGGATGTAGTATTGATGATAATGATAATTGTAGTAAAACAGGGCTGCAAATACTGTGAAATGTAGAGTTTATCCAACAATAACAAGGATCTAAACTCATTTTAGATTTATTTACATGAAGTAATTATCGTCCAATTTTCGTTTGCTAAATGCATTAAATTGTGGTACTCTTCTGGTACTTGTACATATTTAAATCTATAAATGTAGCTAATATTTCACACTTTTTAGGAGTGCTAATTTACTTCAATGTTACTAAAAATGCTATTTTTTAATTAATGCAACGAAAAGTAATCAATAAAAACTGTGCAGCTGAAAGCATTTGCATGAAAGCTCAACAAGTTTAGCAGGAGACGATTATTTTAATGACAGATTTGGTGCACGTGAAGAGGTGATCAAGCGCAGAGAAATTTGCAATGACCATCCAACTGAAATTAAAGCTGTTATTTTACAAGTTGTACAAAAATATTTTAATATTTAAAAATTATCTAAATGCTTGACAATTTCATACTTTGAAATCTAAAAGCACATAAAATATTTGTCTTTAAATTTATGTTTAGAATTTTCCAAAGCAACAAACAAAAAACATATTTTTAATCTGATGCGTTTTCCCACAATTTAGGAGTTCCCAGAATGCGTTTAGCTCGTTGAATAAAATGACAAAATTAAGCAACAATCACACAAACTTATGTCTCACTAAAGCCCGTCTAAAACAAACACTCCTGCTGGAAAGAAAGAAAGAAAGAAAGAAAGAAAGAAAGAAAGAAAGAAAGAAAGAAAGAAAGAAAGAAAGAAAGAAAGAAAGAAAGAAAGAAAGAAAGAAAGAAAGAAAGAAAGAAAGAAAGAAAGAAAGAAAGAAAGAAAGAAAGAAAGAAAGAAAGAAAGAAAGAAAGAAAGAAAGAAAGAAAGAAAGAAAGAAAGAAAGAAAGAAAGAAAGAAAGAAAGAAAGAAAGAAAGAAAGAAAGAAAGAAAGAAAGAAAGAAAGAAAGAAAGAAAATTTGCGTTTATATGAATTATCTTTTGTCAGGTGATCCACGGCAGGAATGGTGAAATAAGGTTTTTAACCCCCTATTTTAGAAGACCAATAATGTCAGTGAAAACTCAAAGTGACTGGTTGTATCTGCAGGTGAAAAGTGTTCCCACTCCAGAAGAAAAAGATACACACGGAGATACGGAACAGAATTGCTTCTTATTGATTTCCAGAATACATACAAAAAAATACCAATTCTCTTTCCATCACCTGAAAAATAACGGCATTTTTTAAAATGTGGACAGTTCTTTTGAAATTTAAGAAACAGACATGCATGTAAATTAATTTTCTCAATGAGACATTAAATAAGAACAAATACAATCATAGCAATTTTCAAATGAACATCGAAATGAAGATCCCTACCTTATTCGGTGTTCTAACGTGTGTGTGTGTGTGTGTGTGTGTGTGTGTGTGTGTGTGTGTGTGTGTGTGTGTGTGTGTGTGTGTGTGTGTGTGTGTGTGTTCACTTTACCTATAGAGTTTAGATTCAACATAATGCACTTTTTGAGTTGCTCAGATATTTTCCATATGCAGCTGTTACCGCCTGCTTTAAGCCGACATATAAATAAATACAGTTCAAGTCCACGGATCCCGTCCATAAGTTTAGCGCAGTTTATATAAAAGATTTTATATTTGCATTCTTAGTTCTATAAACTTTTCAAAGTCATTTTCTCCCATCCTCACTGGTATCCCAGCGCAGAGGCTGTGGTGAGTCTCTGCCCATACAGTGCGTACGGGGAGTAGTAGGGGCCGGTGGCTGCGGGGACAGGGACAGGAGCACCAGGGGTGGGCAAGGGACTTTTGGAGTAGGGGTGGTAGCGGCTGCTGAGTCCTAACGCGTGATGTGGGCTCCTTAGAGCCAAAGTTCCGGGACTGCCTGGGGCTCCTGACGGTGGCATGTGCATATGGCAGGCCATGGCCGCTGCTGCAGCGCTGGCCAGTGATGACGAGCCGGGGTAGCCAGATATCAGCTTCTCAGCTCCGGTAAAAGCTGTGTGTGTCCTCAGGTGATTCAGGAGCTCCTCTGAGGTGGAGAAACGCTTGTCGCACGGTCCATTTGCCGACACCCAATTACAAACATGGGGGAGAGGGTCATTGGGGAGCATGAAACCATAAGGGTACAGGGGGTGTCCGCTGAATGACGGCGCTGAGGAGTGAACGCCGTGCATAGGGTGCGCCGGGTACATTAGTGGGTAACTGGACTTGAGCGCGTTTGCGGCGGCTGCAGCTGCAGAGTCATGCGTGCACGAAGCACCGGCTGCACCCGCTAAGTGGCTGGCACAGTGGTAACTGAGGCAGTAAGGATCTCTGCACAGGCTGGCTGACATGATGGACGGAGGAGAAGCACCGGCCAGGGGGCTGGATCCAGCCTTACTGCAGCCCAGGGAACTAGCCAGCTGTGCGTTCACCAAGCTCCCTCCGTGGGGCAGGAAGTGTTGGGGGTACCCAGCATAGGCCCCAGCCAGACTGCCTGGGTAGGTCATACCAGCAGGAGGCAAAGGGAACACAGTCTGTCCAGGCTTATAGGGAGAAACCGGCGCCACGAGTCCTGACCCGAGAACGGACGCGGAGGATACAGAAGTTACAGACTCGGAGGAGGGGGTGGATTTTGCGCCAGACGTCGTCTCCTGGTGCTGGTTGACCTCTACGTTAATTCCACCGCAACTCACGCTTATCCTGCTGTGGCTCGTGGTGCCAGAGCCGTCCGTGGTGCCGTTTTTGTTACAGTCAGAATCTTTCTTTTCATCCCTCTCCCCACATTTCCCCTCCGATGGCATGGGAGAGGCAGAGGTGCTGGAGTTGGGGCTGCCTGTCCGCGGTGTGAACGGCTGGCAGGTGGCGCTCGGCACTCGGAAACCAGACTTCTCGCCGCTCGAAGACGAGTCCTTCTTATCAGAGGGTTTAGAATAAGGTTTGAAGCTCGATTTGTCATCCACGCCGATGTCGCTCAGTTTTAAAGGACCCGATTTAGATTCCTTCTCGCTAGATCCATTTGGTGTCACGGAGGATAATTTGGAAGAAGGTGGTGGGTCCGGTTTGCCGATCTGAGAGCAGGTCTGCGCCAGCAGAGCGAGCGGACTTTTCTTGGCGTCAAGCTGCAAAATAAAGATGGAATGGTTGTAAATAAATGCTGCTTAAATGCACACATTCAGGTTACCTTTACAGAAACAAAAGTGAGCATCTGAAGTGGATTTTTAAAAGGATATTCGTCGCAAATGTATGCGTATTTACGCACGACTTCTCGGTCAGCAAAACTGCAGTAATCGCATTTAAATCCCCAAAGAAAACAAATACTTATTTCAGGCGTGTTTACAGACAAATTCCAACTCCTTAGAATCACATTGGGCTTTGATATTTGACATAAAGCTTGAAGAAAGATAAACAGAGCACGAATCACGCGCTGAGACGCGTTTATGATGTTTCTCTTACCTCTATGGGACTAACTGGAGTAGAAGGTAAAGGCTGCAGATACTCCGGGTGCAAAATGTGTCCCGATCGTGCAGTAAGCATTTTCAAAACCTTGATGGGGATTCGGTTTGCTTGCCGTAATGGGTCAGACGGAGGTGCGGAGTGAAGAAAAGGCTTGTTGATGCTCGCCGAGCTGCTATTCCGAGAACTGCTGTTTTCCCACGCGACACAAATATCACTATTTTTCAGGGCAGACGCCGAGGGCGATGTGATCATGTCCCAATTGTCAGGAAATGAAATGGTGACGCTTTTAACGCATTCATTAAGAAAACCAAGAAGGAAGCAGCGAGTCTCTTTTCAGTGGAGGAAAGTAAAAAATGTTCGCAAAATCTCTTCTGATGGTGCGTAATCCTGGTAGGAGAGAGGCTGAAGGCGCGGCAGCAGGAAGGAGACCGTGCGAGGTTATCGCAGATCCGAGGCTGCGTCTTGCACCATGAGCGCTGCGCCTTGTTTTTGTGCAGGTCCTCGCTCTGTACTCCCGAAGTACGAACTGGTAGGAATTTTCACTTCAAAAGCAGCTGAATTAGTCCGAGATTAAAGCCTTTGCCGCCTTCCAATCAAATGGGACCCTGAGGTGATTGGAGGGTCAAGGGGATGTGACGTTCTCCTCTTTGGAAGCGCCTCTCTTTTGGCTGCTCGGGGGAGGAGATAGAGAGAAAATATCGTGGTTGGTATGAACGCTTACACCAAAGGAGGATGCGGGGGACCAGTGGCACTTGTGCGCACCGCGTAACCCCTTGGCTTTTACATCTAACCACTTGAAAAACACTTAAAAATAACTCAAATAAATTACTGAAATTTGTATAAAAACGCGTTATCTTAGACTTAGATGTCGAAAAATCATTGGAGAATACATTTATTTTCACTTGTACCCCACTCAGAAATGTCAAACTACAAGAAGAGATTCCGTTACGCGTTTCGGTGACAAACAAATGGATCAAACTCTTTTTAAATCATAAAAATCCACCCAAAAGATTTTCTTTCATACCGAGTCCTTATTTGTGCTCCAGTGGGACTGGCAACCATCAAACCAACCGCTTCAGCTCGAATCCCCCAAACAGCAACCAGACAAGCGTTGACAGGAATAGACCAATGCAGTGATGGAGGGATGCGAATGTCACATGTTTTCAGTATAATATACACCGCCCTTCTATTTCCATCTCCACCCCTCCGTCAAGTGTCAATTCTGCTCCAACGCAATCAATCAGTTATTTGTCAGACGTTGTCAATCCGCCGCTTGATTTATGTCAGCCATTGTGGCTGATTACATGCAAGTGTTGCTGAAGGTGGAGAAAGAACAAACGGTGAGGGGTGCTGCTCTGGATGAAGGTTTAGGAACACGCAACGCAGTTTGGTGCGTTGGATGTGAGACGCATGGTCCAAAAAACGAATAATAATAATAATAATAATAATAATAATGTCATCTTCATTTTTTCTTTCGTAAATAAGGAGAAAACGATAAAGTTCCTGTGCATCCAGCTGCCCGTTAAACAGCGACTGTAACTTTTGGAGCTCTCCATAAAACACCTCGAAGGTGGCGCACAGCTACATGATGAAACTTTAATAACTTGCAGACAGCCTGGCTCACATGTGTTGCACGAGGAGCCGTTCGTGCTTTCAGGTGCTAAAGTGCTTTAGCTATAATCGGCCGATTATGGTGTGTTAACAAGAAGCCTCGGGGTGAAAAAAAGCCATGAAGTGATCTAAATAATTATAAAACACGAGATTTAAAATTGTACGTTCAGCAAAGGTATATAACTACAGAATTAGCTGATTTATTTATATCGATATGGCAGTGATAATATGAAATAAACCCGAGGAACGTACACTGAGACTAAATAAAAAGTCTTAAGAAGCGTCAGATTCCCGTTGTGCTGTGAAAAGCTGTCATCTGCAGAAACGGCAACAAAGCCGCCGAACAAGTAATGATGATAACAAAGGAATCCAGACATGTTATATTGATGCCAGCTCGATTTTATTTACATACAATAGAAATGATTTATTTTCTTTAGGAGGTGGGGAAGCGGAGAGGCAGGCAGAAAAGAAGAGGAATGGTCTGTCAGGCCGTTGAGAAACGAAGTTTCAAATGCCTTGAACTATTCACCGCCGAGATGGCTAATCAGTATTGAGGCTCCGGGGCGATCGGGCAGCTTTTCAATGTGCTTTTCCTTTCATCTCAATCGGGATGGAGGCGCTCAATTAAAAGCCTATCAGTTTGTAAGTAAATCAACGCCTATCAAAGTTGTCACATCAAACAAAACGATTATTATTGCAACCCGCCTCTGCCATTAATCTCCTTCTGTGGTAATCTGCCTGACAGGTCGACTTGGAGAGCAAGAAAAGCTGGACTGGACAGCAAAAAAAAAAAAAAAAATTAAAATTAAAAGATATATATATATATATATATATATATATATATATATATCATATATATGTATATATCAAGTCAATCAAATCAGATATACTTTATTAATCCCAGAGGGAATATATTGTTCAATTACAAGTGAATTAAATTAAAATAAAACTTCAAATCGACATCAGAAAAGAACACAGTGCAGCTTGTATAAGCAGAATTTATTCTAGGCCCATTCACTTCTTTTGCACAAGTGCTTACCTAATAAACTAAATTAATGCCATTTTTATTAGGATTAATAAATGTGCAGCTTAGTTCTTTCTAATTTATTTAGAAGCAGGGGGAAAAAGTCGACCTAGCCCTGTTAGGGCTGTTTATTTTATTTTATTTTTTTCAGTAGAAAAAAAAGAAGGCAACGTTTAATGTGCAAAGATATGTGATTGATAACAGGCTTGCTGTTTTCTGCAAAGGATGTCAGTCCCTGACACAATATGTGAATTATTAGGGCAAAGAAGGGCAACCATAAATTTTCACTGTCAGAGGAAAACCCTCTTTATTGTCCGTTTGACAAATGGGCTCCTGCACCAGACACCAAAATACTCGGCATTCCTCTTAAATGGGAACACATTGTTTGGCGACCATTATTCATGATATTTAAATAGAAAGTTTTAATATCCCTCGTATATTTCAGCACACTGACATGTTTATGAATCACCGCCAAATGCAAATAAAACTATTTACATCTCGAGAGGAAATATGTTGGATTTGCAGGATTTGTGTGAGTTGCTTGTTGGGCCGAATCACGCAGCGACGCGGAGAGGAAGCAACAACAAGCCTGGTGTGTCAAGTCAAACAAAAATAAACTATTAATAATTTAAATCTTTTTAAACATCGTTTATAAGCAGCAACATTTAAAAATTCGCGCTAAAGAGACCTAAATAATATTAATTATGTCTCTTAATTTTATTTTCCCTCAATTTTCACTTTTATTTACTTTTAGTCCGTCATTTAACTGCAGGAAATACACGTTTTTAAACAATCTACGTAATAATTTCCAAGAAAATGAAACACTAGTTCACAATTTCACGCGTAAAGACGCATGCAATAAATTGATTTTGTTCCTGTAAAACTCCTCCGCGGAAATACGGTTACATAAAGTCCGTGACGCGAGATTACCTGGAATTACTCCCTACAAGATCCGACGCAGAGAAGTAAATGGTTAAAATACAACCCTGTGTGAACATTAGTCCGTTTGCCTGAAAGAAAGTTTTTGTCTTGTTATTGCGTGAGTCAACAGCCGCTAATTGTGGCCTGAAGCGTGACGCACCGCAAGGAGCGCGGAGACGACTGAAGCCATACAGGCGCTCCCAGACTGTCCGCTGAAGCAGCAGGAAGAAGGGAAAGTGAGCTTTTCCGCTTATGGGAGGTCCTTAGGTGACGTCACACTGATAGAAGAGAGGAGGAGGAGAAACAAGAGCAGAACACACAGCAGAGTATGCAGAACTGATCTTTATTATTCACATCTATAATGTTAGAATTCCAATATCTGCTCGTTTTTCAATTTGAAATGCAAAAAGTCACATAAAAAATTATAAAAAAGGCTATTGGTGACACACACACAGAGTAGCTACACATCATTGGTGACACACACACAGAGTAGCTACACATCATTATCTATCTATCTATCTATCATCTATCTATCCATCTATCTATCATCTATCTATCTATCTATCTATCTATCTATCTATCTATCTATCTATCTATCTATCTATCTATCTATCTATCTATCTATCTATCTATCTATCTATCTATCTATCTATCTATCTATCTATCTATCATCTATCTATCTATCTATCTATCTATCATCTATCTATCTATCTATCTATCTATCTATCTGGCATGGTGGTGGAGGACTGATGGTTTGAGTTTTAGTTTGAAGTTAAGGAGACAAATATGAATAATTGTGTTTACCAAGTATCTTATAGAGGTGTAAAATCATTTGTCTAAAGGCTGAAATTAGGTCTAAACTGTGTCTTAGAGGACAATGACCCCCCTTCAAAGACAGCACTCTGATAACCATGTCAAAGTCCAGACCCTGATTAAATACTGTAGTAGGGCTATAACAAAGCATAAATACAACCTTGTAAATATAAAGGATCTGAAAAAGATTAGCTCAAGGAACTGTTGCCAAACTGCTGAACCACAGTTATGAGGACTAAATGCCATTTGTTTCTAATTAAAGAATTTCTTCTTTGAAAAAACTGTTAAAGGTGTGATTCTTTTCTTCCTTTCTTCCTATTTTTGAAAATTGTAACAACGGAAATACGTTGGGTATGGACTACCAAGCTGCCTACCTATTGCAGATTCAATCTTCCTAGCCTGGTGCAGGTCTATAATTTAGTTTCTGGTGTCCTGTGACAGCTCTTTGGTCTTTGCCATAGTGGAGTTTGGAGTGTAGCTGTTAGAGGTTGTGGACAGGTGTCTTTTATACTGATAACAAGAGTATTTAATTAGAAATAAAGAAATGTGTTTGATGAATTTATTTTTGAGTTATCAGACCTTCAACTTATTGCCTTTAAATGGCAATAAATGGTAAAGAGTTTGGCAAAGTCCACTAACTTAAAATAAATAACGTTTTACCGTAGACTGCAGTGTCTCGCTTTCATTGTGATAAAAAGGGGGGTCAACAAAATCAATTTGTCATCGTCATCGTTAATGAAAATTACACTGCTGCAATACCTACGCTGAACTGCACGGTGTTAGAGTGGAATGCTTTTACCCACTGGGGCTTTAATTAAAACAGAGATGGCAACACTGATAGCAGGGGCGGCGTTAGGCCCGGCTACTTGGGCTGAAGCCCCGGATCTTTCATGATAAGCCCCGGATTTAAATCACGGAAGTAACATGCAGTACCAAAGTCCAACAGAGAGGGAGCAGCTGGCAATAGTTTGTATACAGCCTGCCTGAGCCTCCACCACTGAAGAAGAAGCCCTTCAGCAGCCGGCTTCTTCTACAGTCTCTGCCTGAAACGCATGAGTGAAGATGGACATAAGGACGTTTTTTAGACAAAAAGTACAACGACAGAACCCCAGCTTTGATGAGACTGGTGCTGACTCAGGTTTGTGAGTCTTATTTGAAAACATTTGTTGTGCTGCTGGTTTGCCTAAAGTTAGCTTACTATCAGGTAAAGTTGATGGAGAAAGAAAGGGAATATTTACTATCATCTCACACTAAACACAGGAACAATACTCTGCCCTGAAAATG